ATGGTGAAACCCCGTCTCTACTAAATAAAAAAAAAAAAAAAAATTAGCTGGGCATGGTGGCACATATCTGTAATCCCAGCTACTTGGGAGGCTGAGATAGGAGAATCGTTTGAACCCAGGAGGTGGAGGTTACGGTGAGCCGAGAATACGCCATTGCACTCCAGCCTGGGTAACAAGAGCGAAACTCCGTCTCAAAAAAAAAAAAAGACTTATTTAATCCTCAGAATAACCCTGTGGGGTAGGTAGTCTTGTTTTCTCCATTTTAAAGATGAGGGAAACTGAGGCACGGAGAGATGAACTCGTCCATGGTCTACTGCTGGGAAGTGGTAGATTTGATTTTCAGACTAGGCAGTCTGGTGCCATGTGCATACTCAGCCTCTACTGGGTACTGCCTCCGGTGCCTCCGTTTCTTGAGTCTCCTCATCTCAATCTTGGCCCAGGTACTTGGGTTTCTCTCTGTTTTCCCATTAGAGAAATAGGGTTTTCCAATGAAGAGTGGATTCTGGGGTTTGCCTTTCTGTCATGGGGCTGTGAGCATGGTCCCAACCTGCCCGTGATACCACACCTGGTCAGCAGAGGGCGCTGGCTCCATGGTGGCTCTGGGCCCTGGTCTGAGTTTGGCATTCTGGTATCCAGCATTTGGGACAGAATTAACCTGTTCTTCTGTTATAGGAAAAAGTCTCACGGCTGGAAGCAGAGTTAGATGAGGAGAAGAACACTGTGGAGCTGCTAACAGACCGGGTGAATCGTGGCCGGGACCAGGTAACCCCCGTCACACCCCATCTCTGTACTGTATCACCTCTTGGTTCCCTCAAAAACAAGTCTACCCTCCCATCTTTCATCATCCGGAGAGGTCTGCCTGCCCAATCTGTGCATGGCTGGGTTTACTTCAGGGTCTTGCCTGCTTCGGGAAAGGCTGGCCAGTTTCCTTGGGTGGAAAGAAGCCAGTAATTTGCGTGGAGGAAGGGATCCTCGTGGCCTGGGCTGCTCTCTGACCTGAACTGGGGCTTCTTTAGTTCAGGGATACTAGTTCCTGGTGGGATGAAGGAGGCCCTGTTTACATTCTCTGGCTCCTCCCATTTGAATAGGCTGTGATTTTTTAGTTGCCTGGGAATTTCTGGATTCAGGGTTCAGAGACCATCTTCCCGTGACTCAGCCTCACTTGGTTCAGCTTGCTAGTGCGTCCTTAGCCCTCTCCAAGTCTGGTCCTCTCACCCCTCTCCACTAGGTGGATCAGCTGAGGACAGAGCTCATGCAGGAGAGGTCTGCTCGGCAGGACCTGGAGTGTGACAAAATCTCCTTGGAGAGACAGGTGAGGGGGGAAGGGAGGAGTCCCAGGAATGGACCCCAGGAGGTGGATAAAATGGCCAGTGGAGTACTGACTGTGGAGGCTTCCTGTCCTTCTCAGAACAAGGACCTGAAGACCCGGTTGGCCAGCTCAGAAGGCTTCCAGAAACCCAGTGCCAGCCTCTCTCAGCTCGAGTCTCAGAATCAGTTGTTGCAGGAGCGGCTGCAGGCTGAAGAGAGGTGACATAAGCCTGTCCTCCCTCCCTCCCTCCCTCTTGGCTTTTCTCCTCTGCAGCTCCTTTCGTCTTCCACGTCAGATATGGCCAACGTGGCCTGATATTTAGGGAACATTTTCTCCTGATAGAGAGCAAAGAGAGTTGCAGAAATTCTTAAATGTGAATGACCTCGCTCTCCCTCGTTCTTTGAATCTGCCCTGGATCCTGCCCAGTCTAATGGTGGGCTCATGATTAAGAGAAGTCCTTGGGGGCAGTAAGGGGCCAAGATAGGATTCCCTTAGAAATGGGGACTCTTGGCCAGGCATGGTGGTTCAAGTTTCTAATCCCAGCACTTTGGGATGCGGAGGTGGGTGGATCTTGAGGTCAGGAGTTCAAGACCTGGCCAATACAGTGAAACCCTGTCTCTACTAAAAATATAAAAATTAGCTGGGCGTGGTGGTGGGTGCCTATAATCCCAGCTACTCAGGAGGCTGAGGCAGGAGAATTGCTTGGACCCAGAGGTGGAGGCTGCAGACAGAGCTAGACTCCATAAAAAACAAAAAAGAAATCGGGACACTCATAGACGTTCTTCTACCTCATCTTAGGGAGAAGACAGTTCTGCAGTCTACCAATAGAAAACTGGAGCGGAAAGTTAAAGAGCTATCCATCCAGATTGAAGACGAGCGGCAGCATGTCAATGACCAGAAAGACCAGGTGAGCACATGGCACCCTGGGGCCAAGCAGCTGTGGACCATTGGGTATGTTTTCCTGAAAGCCAAGGGGGCCCTTGTCTCCCATAGGTCTTCCAGACTTAGACTTTCCTTGTCTAAGGACAGAGATTAGATGGAAAGGACTAGACTAGAGCAGTCATCGTGAGCATATCTATTGAGTGCTTGTCCTGTGCTAGGTTCTGTAAGTATGACACATGTGTTAATACATTTAATCCCTAAGTCAACCCTGTGAGGCTAAGGAACTTGCCCGTGGCCACATTTTTTCAGGGGCAATTATGTCTAGTCAAGATAGTTACAGGGGAGGGTCCCAGGCCATGGTAGTAGACGCTGTTCCAATGTGGGGACTTGGTATCCTGCCCAGCTAAGCCTGAGGGTGAAGGCTTTGAAGCGTCAGGTGGATGAAGCAGAAGAGGAAATTGAGCGACTGGACGGCCTGAGGAAGAAGGCCCAGCGTGAGCTGGAGGAGCAGCATGAGGTCAATGAACAGCTCCAGGCCCGGATCAAGTCTCTGGAGAAGGACTCCTGGTATGGGCTGCCCCTTTGCCCCTTGCTCCATAGGGACAGTAGAGCAGAGAGGGAATGGTCTCTCCTGAGCTGGATAAGGAGGAGAATGTCTAAGATGGGACTGTGCAGTCACTTGTTTCTGGTTGAAAGCCAGTATATTTATTTCTTTTCTTTTTTTTTTGAGACAGAGTTTCACTCTTGTTACCCAGGCTGGAGTGCAATGGCGCGATCTTGGCTCACTGCAACCTCCGCCTCCTGGGTTCAAGCAATTCTCCTGCCTTAGCCTCCCGAGTAGCTGGGACTACAGGCATGTGCCACCATGCCCAGCTAATTTTTGTATTTTTAGTAGAGACGGGGTTTCACCATGTTGACCAGGATGGTCTCGATCTCTTGACCTCATGATCCACCCGCCTCGGCCTCCCAAAGTGCTGGGATTATAGGCATGAGCCACCGCGCCCAGCCCAGTATATTTATTTCTTAGTATCTCAGCCATCATCCTATACCTCATCTCCCTAAATCTGATTAGTTGGGTATCTTGTAACTTTAGGCCTTAGAAGAATTGGGGGTTCTTTAACACAAAAAGAGTGGCTGTCTCAATATTTCTACTTCCCCTCCCTAACCAGTATTATTCTCTCTGAGTCAGGCGCAAAGCTTCCCGCTCAGCTGCTGAGTCAACTCTCAAACACGAAGGGCTGAGCTCAGATGAGGAATTTGATGGTGTCTATGATCCCTCATCCATTGCATCACTGCTTACGGAGAGCAACCTACAGACCAGCTCTTGTTAGCTCGTGGTCCTCAAGGGCCCAGAAACCAGGCTGAAGGCCTGTCCCAGCCAGTGCTGCTCTGCTCTGCTCACCCTGGATTCTGCATTCCTGTGCATGACCCAGTTATTCAGACCTAAGACCAGGGAGGGGTCTGAGCGATGGTGATAAAAGACATCAGCAATAAGGTGATGGATGGACTTTCCACTGGAAGCGTGGATATTTCAAGCCAACTGAGCCCTTTCCTCAAGTGCCGACACCTCCCTCATCTCTCTCATGTGGAAGGATGATCAGCATTAGGCTGATAGGGACTGAGCAGGATAGGAAGGGATAGAAATTGCCATGTGTATAAAGCTTTATTCTTTAGCCTTTAACCCTAAGGCTCAGGGAAATATCCTATGCTATTGTGCTCCCTGGATTCCTGCAACTCATTTTCCTTCTACTCTGGAGCAGGGTGAGGGGAATGTTGTGGGTAAGGGACATGCAGGCGTGGCTCTACCCATTTCTTTGCACAAGTATGGGGCTCCTGTGGTGGTAGTCCCCATACCCCTCCAGTTCCTGTGTTTTGTCTTCTTCCCTTCCCCTCTTCGCCATTCTTCCTTGCATTTTTCCTCTCAGTGCCTTGGCCAGGGTAAGGAGATAAGGATGCTCTTCTTGCCTTTTATATCTGCACATTCATACCTCTCCAAAGACCAGCTTTTCCCCAGCCAGGGCCCTTAGCCTTCCCTGCTGCCCCAGTGATTGATTGAGAGAGCTGTTGGTTTTTCTGCCGATGAGCCCCTGGGAGAGGGACTTTGGTGGGGCCATGATAAAGTGGCGGGGGTCTGGTGCTTCTCAGGGTTTCCGTCCTTCCTCCTCTCTCTCCTCTGTGACTGTGGATATGGTTATAAGGTGGTTGCACCTGGGAGCCCTGACGACTGTCTGTACAAGTTCCAAAAGGAAAGGTCTCAGTCCCTGTGACTTGGGGGCTTCTCTGACCAGATGTGCCCAACATAGAGAACCAAGGGACCCTCATTTTCTGAGGTGCTTGGTCTTGATTTAGGGCTTTGCAAGGGGTTAGAAGCTGACTGTAAAAATGGGAAGAGGCAACAGAAGACATTTATTTCTCCTTTGGATTTTAGGGAGAGCCATGTCCTGGTAGGGAGGAGATGAGGGGAATGATTCACCTCTCATATTTACTAAGCAGGTTCTATAGGGAGCCAGTGGGGAGGAGGAAGGCTCTTTTCACGAATGACTTGTAATCTCTTGATTAAAAAAAATCCCTATATTCTTCTGCAAATCAGACATTCTTTCCCAATCCAATTCAGCCTTGGTTTTATTTTAAATTAAATATCAAAATTATACATTTATATTGAAATCCTTGGTTTGTCTTCTCATTCTTTTTCCTGGCTTATTTGGAGGTCCAGGTTTTATGAAGTCATATTAACCATATAGCTTAGGGGCTGAAGCTAGAGTTTTCTTCACCTTACATTTCAGAGGCCCTTTACAACAGAGCAGATGGGACCTAGGAAACCCGGAGATGTTTATAGCAGTCGCATTCTCTCCTGAACAACCTTCTGGGAAGAACAAGACCAGTAAATGCCTTTTTCAGAATTAGAGTAGAACAGACCAGAACTGGGTTCTATTCCCTTGGGTTGTAGGGATAACCCCAGCATTCACTTCCCAGATACAAAAATCCTCATTCATTCCTAACTGGCATAGGACCCAGTCCCTACCTGGGAGGTAGGGACATTTCTGCTGTTCCTGCCCTAGTGTTGCCTTGAAGAGGGAGCTGGCCCTTCACTAGAGCCTATTGCCAGGTATAGGGGTACTAGCCACTGAGCAGTGGGTCAGACCTCCTCCTGAAGTTTTCTGTTTGCTGTCTGTGTAAGCCATAGACAAGTGGACCAGCCATCTGCCAAGAGCAGCTGGGCAGGGAGGAGGCTCCAGGGTCCTGCTTGGCCAACCCTTTCTTCTAGGCCCTCAAGATCCCAGCCTAGGACTGGGGAGCAAATGCAACCGAAGTCAAGGCTCATCCTTTCTCATGAACGCAAATTCCTTTTAAGGCAAAGTGTCCCGCCTCTCCCAACCATATAAGGGCAGCATCAGTATAAGGGCTTCTGCAAAACAAGCTCCACCCAGAGCTTGGCTGGCTTAGACTGGGCCTCCTGGGCCTCTCGCCAAAGAAATGCACCTGCCAGACTGGCTTAGGCCAGTCTGAGTGAGCTGGCCCTTTGGTGCCTGCCTTTCTGCGGTGGAGCAAAGGTTTACTCAGCTCTACAAAGCCTACAGGCTGGCTTACGTATAGAGAGAAGAACATGTATGGAAGGAAGCTTTTGCAGCTTCCAAATTCTCATCCTCTAGGAGCAGGCAGGGTGATTCCCTCTGACCAACACTGATCTTGGAGAGATGGAAGGAGAAAGATTAGTGACGTCTGTTGAGCTGCAACCGCATACGCTAAATACAGCTGTTCAGTTAAAGCAGCCCCATGTCGCTCCCAAGCCCTACCTTTGTGTAAATCTGTGCGAGCTGGGCTAAGACAAGTCTCAAACCCCTTGGCCCCGCCCACCTCGCTTATCGCGCGTTCTCGGCGAAACCACGAGCTGGGGGCGTGGCCTACATTCAGCCCCGCCCCCGACAAGCCTATACAAGGAGGCGGTTCCGCGCGCGCCCGCCTAGTTGGAGCGGGACCGCTCGGTCGAGAGGTTGTGTGTGTGCTGCGACCCCGCGGGAAGATGAACGGGACGCAGAACTGGTGTACCCTGGTGGACTTGCACCCAGAGGACCAGGCCGCGGTAAGAAAAAGCGCCCTCGCCGTCTTTCCCGTTTTGTATTCCTGATTTCTAAGCCCGCCGCTCCGGTGCCCCGCGCCGAGTTCGCTGACATCACCTGGTGCCCGGCTCGCGCGGTCAGCCCTGCGGGGCGCTTCTCTCTTTTTATTCTGCTGCCTGCGACGGGCATTAGGAGTCGCGGGGTGAAGACTCCTTTGAGGCTTCAGAGCTAGGGGCGTCCCTGCCCTTTGGTAGGACACTGCGGCTCCTGGCTGGGACTCGGCGCCGGCGAGTTCGTGCTTGCTCCTGCGTCCTCTGGGCAGCCAGACTGGGTCCCTGAGCGCTTTCGGACATTGTGTCTCGCTGAGGAGGCTTAGACTTTCCCGTGGGTCGCGGGTCCTGGTGACCTTAGAGGCCCGTCAAAGAATTTCATCACTGTGCTTTGGATGATCAGTAACAAGAAAAAGGGTAGAGTCAATTCCAGGGCAGGGTCGGGGGCGAGTGGGGGACGGTGGGACTCGGGCTATTTCGAGATTGTCCAGGGACTCTACTTTTCGCTAAAAGGGATAGGGCTTTCCCGCCCGGGGGTCACCTCTCGTCTTGAATTTCTCCGCCTTCCCGCTTGTAGTTCTCCCGTTTTCCTCCCCCTATCGGCCTATCAGTAGCTTGCTGGGACGGTGTGTTGGTTTTGCTTCCGTCCCCAGCCGCCAGGCCCGGGGACGGTGGAGGAAGGGGAGGCAGAACCCAGGCTGTGAAGGGGAGAGAAGTGACCCAAGAAAGGGCTTTGGGACAAGGAGAGGGTTGAGGAGATAGGCGGCGTTGTCCAGTGCAGGCTGGTCTACCTAGCTCCTCTTTCTTTCTCTGGCTCCCAGTCCCTGTTCTCCCCACCCTAGCTTGACCATATGGTTTTTCCTGTCCAGAGGCTGAGGAGGGTAATTTGTGGCTGTTTCTAGGTTCTATTGGGGAACTTAACCCAGATTAGGTGTGTACTATTACATCAATTTCCAAGCTATTGTGAGTGAGAGTGCAATGAAAATCAAGGTGATGGGGAGTTTGTGTATCATCCCCCCTCCCCCATCTGATTCCCTTACCCTCTGCTTGCCTGAGCCTGCCCTTGAGGTAGATATAACCTAACTGAAGCTAGATTATGGCTGTTCTTCAAGCGATATTTGTAGAATAGGTGCTCATTTCAAGTTTAGAATACAGATGGTCATTTAGTTCTGGTCCCAGTCCCCTCTCCGTTTCTGCCCGGGCTATGAGTGTTTTTGCCACATTACAATACAGATGTTGCTATTGGCCAACCCCAGTTGCCCCAACCCCACTCTTCTCTAGCCTGCCACATCCCCAGCTGTGAGACTCTGAAGAGAAGGAAGAAATCCATCCGTTTTGTGTCAGCTGCAAGTCCTACTCCATGCTCTTTGTTTTTAAGTGTAAAGAGTCTCGCTTTGTAGCCTGGAGTTCAGTGGCTCTTCGCGGGTGCAATCGTAGCACAGCACAGCCTTGAACTCCTGGCTTCAAGCAATCCTCCTGCCTGAGCCTCCTGAGTAGCTTGGACTTCCGGTGCACACCACCGATAGCTTCTCCTCCATGCTCTTGCTCACACTTTTGGAATAGTTGAGGGAAAGGGTATGAGATAAATAAAAGAGAGGGATGTTTGGGCTGCTTTTTGCCTGCTATAGAAAAGAGATAAGTTTAAGACCCAGGCATTGGCAGTATTAATGAATCGTTAATCTGTACTGTTTCTTTTTTTCTTTTTGGAGACGGGGACTTGCTCTGTCACCCAGGCTGGAGTGCAGTGGCACAATCTCAGCTCACTGCAACCTCCATCTCCTGGTAGAGATGGGGTTTCACCATGTTGTCCAGGCTAGTCTCAAACTCCTGGGCTCAAGCAGTCTGCCCACCTTGACCTCCCAAGGGCTTGGGATTACAGGCATGAGCCACTACATCTGGCCCCTTATACTATTTCTTGATGTTTTTGCTGCTTGTCTGGTGGAGGGAAAAAAATCATTAGGAGAAAATAGTGGACAAGGAATTCAGATGGTCTCTAGCCACAAGTTAGTTTGAAGCTAACCAGACACCGTTAGAGCAAGGGAGAGACAGAATTACCCTTTTATTCCTTTTTTCTAGGCTGAACTTGAGACTTATTTTACTCCAAAGCTGGGAACGAAGTAATCATTGTCCAGATCTCATCTTGGAGACATTCCTGGGCCCTTAAGGGAGGGGAGGAGATGGTAAACAGTCAGGACACAGGCCTTGTCCTGGATTCCTCTTCTCTGAGCCAACTTGCATGGAATTTACGGCTCTGGACAGTCTCCAGGAATCTGTCATATAGTCACACCACTGAATGGATGCTCAATGAGTGTGCAAAGTGATTAAATCAATAAATGATCAAATGTTTTTTCCAGAGTCAGAGTGTTGACAGTTGAACTGATTAGAGTATCCTCATGGGAGTGTGGGCCCTGGGACTCTGTTGGTGTTTCCCCATTAGCCGGGCTGCGTGCCTCAGCGTATCACATATGGACATGGACATAGGGTAGCCGGGCTGCGTGCCTCAATGTATCACATATGGACATGGACATAGGGCTAATACACTCTCTGGGACTTTATATTGTTGGAGGCAGATGCAGCAGGTACAAGGAGCCAGTGTTTTTCAAAACTACAGACCATAACCACTAGTGGATCTGAGATCAACTTAGGTCAGACCAGCATTAGAAAAGAAATAGAATCAACACTCTTAGAGTGTTAGTAAGGATAGACATTTTTGGTAGAGCTTTTATTTCAGTTATATATATGTATGTGTGTGTTATATATGTGTGTGTTAGTTTACTGGATCGTGATGTGAAATATGTTTTTGAGATTGAAAAGCTTTGCAAGCCCCTGTGGTAAGTGATATTGGCAAATAAATATACAAATAAACACCAAACTCCTTTTTATTAGGTATTTCCATTAACTTCGTTTGGTTACGAACAACAGAGAATGAGTCCTGCGAAGTTAAGCAGATGAGGACATGATTAGAAGGAAATGGAGCAGTTCACAGGATTTAAGGGAAAGCTTAGAAAGTCCTATACAAGGATGTCCTGGGACCTGAGTGAGAGGAAAGTTGGAGACTTACTACTATCGGTGAATTGGTTCCAGCTGTTTTAGGTCCTTTCACCATTCTGCTCAGGATTCCAGGGAGAGAGTACCATCATTTCTTGGCCCCCCAATTGTCCAGAGCAGGGCAGGGTTCCTTGATTGATAGCCCCCAGATTATAGTGATGGAAAGAGATTCTCCAAAGACCCAAGTGTTGCTATCAGTGGAGGGGAATGGAAGCTGTGTGGCAAAAGAATAGATGTCCATGCCATTAGACTTTACCATGGATGATCTCTGATTTTATATCCCTCCTTCCCTCTCTTCCTTCTTTCTTTCCATCCTTCTTAAATCACTTTTTTTTAAGAGGGTCTCACTGTATTGCCCAGGCTGGAGTGCAGTGGTGTGATTATAGCTCACTGCAGCCTTGAGCTCCTGGACTCAAGGGATCCTTCCATTTCAGCCTCCCAAGTAACTAGTACTACAAGCATACTCTAACATGCCCAGCTAATTTTTCATTTTTTGTAGATATGGGGTCTCACTATGTTGCCCAGGCTAGTCTTAAACTCCTGGTTTCAAGTAATCTTTCTGCCTCGGCCTCCCAAAGTGCTGGGATTACAGGTGTGTACCACTGCACCTGACCTTAAATCACCTGACCTTTTTTTTTTTTTTTGACATGAGGTCTCACTCTGTCACCCAGGCTGGAGTGCAGTGGTGCATCTTGGCTCACTGCAACCACCATCTCCCCCGTTCAAGCAATTCTTCTGCCTCAGCTCCTGAGTAGCTGGGATTGCAGACATGGGCCACCATGCCCAGCTAATTTTTGTATTTGTACTAGAAATGGGGTTTCATCATGTTGGCTGGGCTGGTCTCAAACTCCTGAGCTCAAATGATCTGCCCACCTCAGCTTCCCAAAGTGCTGGGATTACAAGCATGAGTCACCATGCCCGGTCTCTTAAATCACTTTTTATCAAAGGAATATATGTGTGTGATTTTAAGAAGATCTAATACTATCAGAAGGCTTTTAAAAGAAAATAGCAGTCCCCTCCTCCAAGTTCTGCTCCATGAACGTAACCACTTTCTACTTTTAGCTGTTTTGTCTTGTGTTTACCTCCATGTTTCTAAATAATATGCTTACAATGATTTTTCTTGATGTATCAGTTTAGACATCTATTGACTTCTGTTTTGGGAATTATAGGAAAATCTATATTCCCACCCTTCACAGGTGATAGGTCAGGGTTCATATCTTGGCATCTTTCTCTGGGCGTCTTTCCTCGTCTTTTTCAGACTTAATGACCAAGGCAGCTCGTATCCCCTGCTGCTCTGGTTTCTTCAAGTAATCTTTCAGTGTTATCTTTCCTTAGAATATTTGCATTTTTTCATACTCTTTCTTTTTCTTTTTCGGCAGAGGGAGGTGTGGCACGGGGGGGGGAACTGTCTTGGCCAGAGCGGTTCTTTCAACACCTGGGTGGACTCGGAATTTTTGTGTCAGCTGCAGTCTGAACACGTGTCTTTACCATGGAATAGGTGATGTTCCTTTAGGACTTCAGAGACTGATGTAGTTTAATACCAAGTCTTCGCAGAGCCTCACTCTTTTTTATTTTTATTTATTTATTTATTTTTTGAGACGGAGTTTTGCTCTTGTTACCCAGGCTGGAGTGCAATGGCACTATCTCGGCTCACCGCAACCTCCGCCTCCTGGGTTCAGGCAATTCTCCTGCCTCAGCCTCCTGAGTAGCTGGGATTACAGGCACGCGCCGCCATGCCCAGCTAATTTTTTGTTTTTTTAGTAGAGATGAAGTTTCACCATGTTGACCAGGATGGTCTCGATCTCTTGACCTCGTGATCCACCCGCCTTGGCCTCCCAAAGTGCTGGGATTACAGGCGCGAGCCATCGTGCCCGGCCCTATTTTTTTAAACTAGAACTGTGATTTATTGAAGCCTTACCATGAAC